CGGGGCCGGGAGACCCCCTGGCGGAGCCAGCCCGTCCTGTGGCCGCCAACTGCTGCCCCCCGGGCAGAAAGAAAGTTGCCGTCTTCTCTTTTAGCCCTAAATTAGTCCGAAAATACAGAATCCTACGTGCTCCCGTGGTGTCAAAGTGGTTTTTGCTGTTGGCCCCTTGATTTAAAGCTAATACGTTTTTTCCCCCCCGCACAGGAATTATCTACGATGTGATTGTGGAGCCTCCGAGCGTTGGGTCGATGACAGACGAACACGGGCATCAAAGGCCGGTGGCCTTCTTGGCCTACAGGTAGGAGCAGGGCCCTGCCACTGCAAACCAGTGACTGCAGGTGGATGAATGCAAGTGGACCCTGCCAGCCTTCTGGAGCTGTGTCAACTTCTTTTGAACTCTGTAGGGCTTGTAGGATCTGATGCATATCCAACCTTGATTGGCAAATTAAAAAAAAAAAAAAGCTATGCGTTGAAATCAATGGAAATAGAAAAATTCAGCCCTTGCAAAGTTACTGAAAACGAACACATAGGTAAAAAAAACAACTTTTCAACTGACAGCACTTTTCTCTTTTTCCAGATCTTTGCTATTAGAGCTGAGACTTTAAATGAGTGCAGAAATATTTGGTCATATTTCATAACAACTTAATCATTGTGAAGCTTTTAGTTCTGTGCTTTTAAATTCTGATTTAATCTGGACTTTTGTGTCCGAGCATGGGGGAAATAATTATAGATATGTAACAACGGTATCTTCCTTGAGTCTGTTTGCTTCTATTAATGGAAATCATCCAGAGCTTCTTTACTCAAGAACTGGTCTGGAGAATGTTAAATTTACACTTGGAAATGATTTTTTTTTTTAAACAAATAATGGCTTTTATTCATGATCAGAAAAGCTCTTTCAGTTTGTGAGATCTGATGTATCTTATGTACTAGTTTTGGCTCAGTCTAAAGTAGCACGTGCCTCAAATTGTCTTGAGTGGCTGCAGCGTATATGAATTAGAGCGCTGTAGGGAATTAAAAGCACTTCAGTGAAAGCAGTAGAAACAACATGATAGATGATGATAATGATTATTTTCATTTCTGTCCTATTATCTATAGTTGCTGCATCCATATCATCTTTACAAAATTGCTGGTATTGCTAATTATGAAAGTAGAAAAAGGTTCAGTGATTGTGGGACCTAGGAAACTCAATTGAGGTGCATGCTTTTGCTGCATCTCAGCTTCCCTTCAGACAGTCTTGGCTCTGTAAGAAGGAAACCCAGCTGTGTGGGCTGGCAGAGAGCCAGAGCACATTTAGGCTGGGTCTCTGCAATCTGTGTAATCTCAGTGAGCCAATAGCAAAATTGATATTGCAGGCAAGACCACTTTTGCTGTGTGCGAACCCCTAGATGTGCTTTGTGTGCTGATGTGGTGGTCTGGGGCTTTTTACCAATACTGGAATTTAGGGACTGCTGTTTAAACATTAAGGCAGAAATAGCCTGGAAAAGCTCAGTGGTCCAGCGATCACGAGCACGGTTCTGTGCATTGAATCATCTGTGAAAGCTGGCACTACCTTTAGAAAAAATATTTTTGAAAACTGATGAACTTATGCTGCATTAGCTTTCATGAGGTATGGGAGAACTAACCTGAGTATCATCCCGTCAATGTACATGGTTCTGCATAAAACTCATGAAGAGGACTAGTACATTTGATTGGTCTCCTGAAGTCTGCAAGGTGATGAGTTCAGGAGATAAATTACATATTAAACGCTTAATTACATAGAGTGATGAGTTTGCGTATCTACTTTCTGTTAGAAAGTCAGTTATCACAGCTAATTGTCCTGCATATTTGTATAGCTAAAGCAGGCTGAGTAGGCTTGAGTAGATGGGTTTTGAAACCTAAATAACTCACTGAAAACTAATGCCTTTCTGACTCGTCTTCTTTCCTTCTCCCTTTTTTTCTAGAGTAAACGGGCAATATATTATGGAAGGGCTTGCATCCAGTTTCCTCTTCACAATGGGTGGCCTAGGCTTCATAATTCTGGATCGATCCAATGCACCAAATATCCCCAAGTTGAATAGATTTCTCTTGCTTTTTATTGGATTTGTAAGCGTGCTTTTGAGCTTCTTCATGGCCAGAGTTTTCATGAGGATGAAATTACCGTAAGTGACTTAGTACTCTTTCTGCTTTTCTTCTCTCTAGTGACTTATGTGCTTAAGGGTAACAGAAATTAAAATGAGGTATGTTAAATATTTGCAACTTGGCTATATGTTGCTTTTCTTTAATGCTTTTTCTGGAACAGTCTGTTTTGAGATGGGGTGCTGTCTACAGTAAGATTGTGCTCTGGTGAAGAAAGATGACAGATCAGGATAAGTCACGTAGTATGATTCATGAGTCTGAATTGTAATGAATTTTAAGGAGAGAATGTGTATGTATTGATTATTTAAAAAAAAATTACCAGTCAGGGCTTTGAGGAAAAAAGCACGTATGAAAGAACTTGGAGAGGCAAATGAGTTTTTGTGCTGACAATGCATGTGAAGGATCATAACTAGAAAAACAGGAGGGGAATAAGGGGTTTTCAGAGACATCCTAAGTAGTGCTAAAAGTAAAGATGCTGTCTCAATTTTTTTGCTTGAAAATTGAACATAGAAACTTATAGTATACATAATATTTTAATACACGTGTATTCAGCGATCAAAAAGTAGAAAAGATCTGGGGCTTTCAGGCTGTGAGATAACTAAAAGCAGTATTTCTTGTTTTCTCTTTATTTCTCAGTCCATCTAATTCATTTAGAATAGCTGGAACCAGCTGTTTGGAGGTACTGGTAGTTAATTTCCAGAGTAGGTCTATGAGGTATTACCTTAGCAATGACAGTCATTCTTCCTTTCTTAAATATTTCTTTCATAATGTACAAGTGGTGGGTTCCCTGGCAACAGGTAGCAGAAGAGAAGCTTACTATATATTGTCTCATTTCATCAAGGCCATCATATCACTTGAATGGTTTTGACTCTTTAGTTTTTGAGGGGGGAAAAAAAGAACAGGAGAAGTCTGATATAATTGAAGTGAATCTCTGCATTGTACTGGCATAAGTGGCTCACATTAAGGAAACAATTTAGTATTTAAAAGTATTATCCTGAGAAGAAGTGTTAGGTAACTTTCTGCAACTCCTCCCTTAACCAAATAGATGCAATTTCTTTGGAATTCATTGCTACCTGTCATTATATCTTTTGTGTAAAGGCAGACAGTTCATTAGTTCATTTCCATAGGTTAACATGGCTATCTCAGACTCAATGTAAAGACCAAGAATTTCACATCAAAAATAATACAAGTAGCTCGCATTGATTTGTGTACTCAGAAAAAAACATATGCGTACTTTCCTACTTTTAAGAATCCAGAGTCCTCCTAGATGCCTATCGGAGACAGACATGATCTTTGCTCTGGGATGATTTTGTTTTAGATTTTGTACAAGAAGTAAGGTCTATAGATAGAAAAAATCTAGGGGAAAAAAAAAAGACGACCTGGATTACAATAATAGGCAGTTGCTCTGCAAAGTAGGCATGTCTCTTAACAGTTTTCTTAATCAATTTCTTTAAAGAAACAAGGCTTGAGAGAAGTTGAAGAGGAGACTAGAGGTCTTTTGAGTGCCAAAAGATGTCAGGATATATTGAATGTCTTAAAACTGATGGTTTGTGTAAAGAGTACAAATAAAGAACCTTTCATAAAGTGTAATTTGGACTTCCAAAATTCCAAACAATTACAAAAATTGGACTGAGAACAAAGTAATTCATTTCCAATATTAATTGCAAAAATCAAAGGAAGGAGTGGGTAGTTAAGCTGACGGGTTGGTACCTTAGACAGGATTTATTATTTTCCTTTTAAATAGCTTTAGTCTGAAAAGGTTATTGGCAGTCTGAGATTTTTATTTTAAGGCCACAATTTTCTTCTTTTTGAGGTGTGCTGTCTGTGTCTTCTAACCTTTTCTTTCCTTTTTTTTTTTTTTTAAACTTAATTTTGTTCTGTAGGGGCTACTTGATGGGTTAGTACCTCTTGTGGTGTATGAAAGCCCAAGCTGAATTTACTCCTCTTCATGAAGTGTTTAAGAAGAAGCAGCAATCGACAAATTCCATAGTCACTGTCAACAGGAAAAAGACCTGGTCATGAGAAACAGCTGGGGGAAGGGTGCTATCTCTGCAAACAAACTTTCATTACCAGTGGCTGATTCAGGCTTAAAACAGCATTTTGGATCATTTCTGTTCTAGAGCTTTTGAAAAGGGCAGGTTACCTAGTTGTTGTTTAATGCCAGTTCATGTGAAATAGAAAACCTTTCTTTAGCTCTGCCCTGAAATGAGTATTAGCCGTTGGTTTGACAGTTCTTTGTTGCAAGATCTGTCCCCTGTTCCCTGTGTGGGAAGATTGTGTGTTTGAATTGGGAAAGAAATACCTGAAACCTATCTTTCCACATTATAATTAGAAAACCAGAAACTTTGGATGCTTTGCAGTCAAAACACAACATGTCTGAAATGATATCAAAGGCATCTTTTGCCTTGAAATTAATAGCTCTATATGAGCAAATCTAGATATGCACTGGGAAAGAGGTAAACTGTATGAATGTGCATTTCTTTTTTGAAACGGTGTACGAAAGGAGACAAATAAAACTTATTTTCTACAAAATTATTGGAATTCTGCTGAGTTTCTGAAATATTTTTTCTCGAGTAAGCACAGCCTATTCTACATCCAGGCTTGGGATGCTGTACCATACCATAACTACATAATTTCTGCTTCATCTTTCACTACTGGATAGTAATTTCTTTGTAAAGTACCAGAGACAAGAAATGTCACCTTTTTTTCCTGTGAGCTTATACTGTGTCCAGATGATATATTGTTATCAGTAACCAAGTGAATTTATTTAGTTCTGAAGCTGCTGGGTTTTTTTGCACGAGACTGGGTTTCAGCTTACTTTGTCTTCATTTTAAGAGAGTGAGACAGTGTTGCTTCCATGTTTCATTAATAAAATTCTGTACTGAATTCTGTGGGAAAGAAAGATCCCTCTAAAACTCCATAAGTGTCTCTTGCAAGCCCAATGTGTTTGAAGCACTGTTCTCATCTATATTGTAATTGTCATTGAGAAATGTAACCTGTTTTAGCATCTTTGCCTATTTTTATCCCTTCATTGTGAAGTGTGTAAGTATTATTGTTCACATACTTAATCAAATTTCAGAGCTAGCTGTTAATCATCTGCCCTCAGGATATGTCATATCCACGCCTTCATTCTCGCATAGTGTGACTTCTGCATTTGTTCATCTTACGTGTTTGTCTTTAAGAAGGTCTGAGGTAACTTAAGCCGTTTTCCAAGGCTGAGAACTGCTAGGTCCACAGTCTTTCCAGAGTGATATCCTCTGCTCATTCTGGTCTCGGTGAGACGCATGCTTACTGTCAGGGGTAGTATTTGTATTATACAAGTAAGTAATTGGGTACAGAAGTCAACTTTTTAATACATCTGAGAGGGAACGTGAACCAGAAACTCATTATCACTGAGTATAATTGTGTTATCGAGACCCCTAGGGCTCAGTATGTAGCACACTGTTGCGCAGCTTCAGTTTGAATGACAGTGCAGCTGATTGTAAGTGAATTTATTCTCACACAGTGGTTTTAATGATATGGTGAATGCTTGTGGTATCTGAAATATATTTTATTATAATTGAATGCTAGGTAACCTATTTTAGAACAAAGAAAGCAGATTTGTAATTGCAACATAGAAGATAGCTTTGGGAAAATAAGACTAAAGAAAAAGGACTATGCTGTCTCAGACAGCCAAGATTAAATGATCCTTTACGTTTCTTTGGTCACAGGCTGTGAATCTAGATGTGCTGTGATCCTCTGTCAAAGCACGAGGTGCAGAGAGAACCAGGAAAAAGAACACAGAGCTGAAGTAAGATAAGACTACCCAGAAATAGGAGCATGCTAGGTAGGAAAATTTTAGAATGCATGGTTATTCTGTTCACTTCTGATAAGAGTTAGGGGCTTCTTGTTCAGCCAAGGAAAAACTTCTACTGGGCACTACAAAATACGCTACAAAGAAGAGGCATTGCTATGCCTCGTGGGAGTCCCATTTTCCCTTGAAGAAAGGCTGATATTTTCTGTAAGTGTCTGCTATTCTTTGTAAGTAACAGCAGGTGGCCCCCCCCATAGGGGCTTAGGGTAGTTATAAGACTATGAGTGACTGTAGAAGGCTTTATCTGTAGCTAGTGAGAATATCTATCTGTATTTGGTGTTCATATCATCTGGGTGAACTGGCCTGGCTCAGGGAGTGGGAAATCAAAATAAAACACTGTGGTAAAGATAAAGCATAGCTCGTAGGAATACATCTTTCCACGACTGAAAACAGAAGTTTGGTCTACTTCCAAATGCAACAGAAAGTCAGACTGATGTCCAGAGTTCTTGATTTTTTGGCTCTCTTGCAGGAGAAAATATTGAATCCAGGGCCCCTCTATGGGATTCTATATAGTCTCTGAGTGATGATGCTTAGTCAATGTAGTTATGCAGGTATATATGGCTTGTGTAGCCTTTGAGAGTTAGAATATACATATAGGAACTATTAACAAACCAAATGATGTTAGATTTACTTGAGTTCAGCTGAAAAATACAGTATAGATTTAAAAAAAAAAAAAAAAGACTAGACATTCTGGTTTCCTCTTTTTCCCCAGTACTCTTTCTAGACTGCTGCAAACTGTGGAACAGTAGCATGTTAGAAAATCTTTGTTATTGAAAAAAGTTTTTGAGAAGGGGGATGTTTCTACCGTTTTGAGGAGATACTGATAACTATTCTTGCTGGTTAAGCTAAGTGTGATGTTTTGAAAAGTTTAAATTCTTTTTTTCTTAATGTATATAATTGTTACCTAAAAACCTGTAACACTTTTACAGGTAAGTTTAATTACTGGTGTGAAGTAGTCCGCATTGATGGCTGAAGTAGCCGACATCTTTGTTAGCCTAATACAGAATGAGATAACATGAGTTCTTATGTGTTATCCACAGTTTTGTTAAACTCACGTTAGGCATGAGTTGAGAAAGCAACATACTAAGATTTGGGAAGAAGCTTGGTATTTCCAATAGAAGTATACAAAAGTGGAAGTTAACAAAATCTAGACATATCCTTCACTGTATTTTCATGTTCACTATATTTTCAAGTTTTATTAAACTAGTGGAAGCATAAAATAATTGCTTTTAGGCACTACCATTAACTTCCTTGCTAATCTACAGCATTCTAATTCTGATTATATTGCACTTGGTGGAATTTTGCTTAAGAAACTGAAAATGCATCAGTTTTCCACTTGCAAAAGTGGATACTTGTTCAGAAAATACTGTTCGGTGTGGATACTATAATCTGCCTATTTCCAGCTATATAGTTTATATGCATAAAATATATTTTCTTAACATTAATATTTCATCCTTCTTAATTTAGGATTCTTAGAGATACAGTCTTTGAAACAGAGACAATCCTAAATTTCTGCTGCTGCTCCCAAAAAAAGGGAGCCAGCATGGGTAGGAGGAAGAGAGCAAGTCTCATTTTCCTGCCACTCATGAAAGTGCTGCCTGCAATAGGAACTTTCTTCTGCAGGATAACGGTGGCTGTGACAATGTAATTGGTATTATACATTTGTAAATGTGATGATTGTGTCTTGCCTTCAGTGTTATGGATTCCCTCGTACAAAGAGTTACAGCAGTAGCTCTGACTTATTTTTGGAATTTTTTTTATTGCTGCTTCTCAATTTTGCAGTTACTTTAGCATACTTTTCTTCCAGAACGTGCTTAAGGAGGAAAGGGTTGAAACCATTACAAGAAATGAATTGGAACTGTTGTAAAAATCTCAGAAGTAGTAAATTTTGTAATGTTTTATTAATGTATGTTGAATTGAGGGATTTCTGTTATACTGATGACTGAAGAGTAGAAATATACATATGAATGACAGGAAAAAAATACAGCTAATACATCCAACTCTTTCTAAAGGATGATGTTTCATGGGAAGCGGCTACTAGAAATATGAGAGTTTCTAGGTGATTTGGTTTCTGTGGTGAGAACTAATTATGCTGGTGTCCTTTTTGTTTGACATGGATACCTGTCAGCTAAGAACTGGAGGGAGACCATAAGCTCATTTTAGAGCAACAGCTGTGGCACTATAATGGGAGTCAAGCATGTCAGACTTGCACCATGTTTTAATTGGTGATGTGGATATGAGGCACTGCTTTCTGATATCTAGTATCTTCAGTTTGTAAGGCAACTTGCTGAGCTCCTATTTAATGATACTAGTTTAGTTATTAATGTTCTTTGGGTATAAGATGAAGTTTCACTTCATCACATAACTATCCCATATGGCTTCTATAAATGTCAGAGGTCTTAGATTAATTGTTATACGTGCAGGCTGCAAGAAATGCTATTTAGTTGTAAGTAAATCAGATCGGTATGGTATCATCGGCTGCCTTATGCATGGAAAAGACTGACGTTAGTAATTTTTTTTTTGTTGGTATCAGTTTTCGCTGCAAAGATTAATGTTGTAGTGGGGACAAGTGTCTCTTGGTTGTTGGTATTAATTGTAAGCTCTTAGCTGGAAACTGGGAAAGAACAATTTTGAAAGGGCTCAGACTGGTTGATTATTCCGGGCTAAAACTTGGAAGTTAAACCTAAAACTTGGAAGTTAAACTTTTTCTAGGATACTTGGTAAATAGGCTGAAACAATTTCAGAACCTTTAGCAATTCCTAACAGCTTCTAGGTGATAGGTAATATGTTCACTATATTCAGCCTTCCAGTACCTCATCTATCTTTAAATGAGGATGGAGGTTGGGAGGGATGGGGTAACCTAACTTCAATCTGAATTAAAAATGTGAAAGAGAAGAAAAAAAAAAGCAGAAAAGAAAACAAAAAACCCCAACTATTTTAAGCACTTGCAAGAAAATGGCAAGTTAGTCACCAACTGGGGTTTTTAAAGAATAAGTCATATGAAGAATAAACCGTACGTGAGAGTTACAGGCCCTGTGGATAGAAGAAAAGCAGATGTTCTTCAGATTCGAGCTTTTCATACTGTCTTGTGTGTTAGAGAAACTTGGCTTAGTCAAAACAACTGTAAACCGGATGCAAAAGTGCTTTGAAAACCATTTTCAGAGAGTATTTATTGATTATTTCATATCCTTTTATCCAAGTGGAGGGATGTGTTAACTGAGGTCTATCCTGTGGCTAATTTTGTTCTGCTCCAAATGAACTGGACAGAAGAGAGAGTACTGACTAAATCAGGAGAAGTCATAACACTCAGAGACTACAAGGAGGGCAGGATTAGGATGCATAGTGTTCTTGACAAATCAAAGAGAACACCCTAAAAAAAGTAGGGTGATTTATATTTTTTAGAAAAAAGTGCACAATGCAACCCTTAACTGAAAAAAATGCAGGATGGGGAGCAATGAACTAGATGGCAATTTCTCAGAGTAAGTCCTTGGGTTTTAGTGAACCACAGGCTGAATATGAGTGTTTGCCTTTTCTGCAGCAGTGCAGCAACATACTGAGATGTATACAGAAGTTTTAGGTACAAGGCGTATGAGGCATAAAAGTAAGCGTGAAAGGGAAAGGAGCAATTTATTGTCTACATCAGTAAGTAAAGTAGCAGCAAGGAAGAGCTGGGATAGCATTAGAAAAA